TTTGTTAATCTCAATCAAAATTTTTGTATGTATATATAGCACACATACGCTCAAGATATGTACCACTCATTCCAGCGTATTTCGGAATAGGGTTGCCACCTAAATTTTAGAGTAAGGAATTTACTTAATAGGTATCGAAATCCATTTTTTCAAAATATTTTTGTAAGGCTATCCAAATCTTGAAAACTTTAAAAGGTATATGGGCTCCGGGCAAAGCTCGGTCAACCTGGTACTTAACATTAAATAAACAAAATAAAACTAGCTAAAACTAGTCAGAATGTCACTTGATTTTCTTAATTTTATTGAGACGTGTTAATATTTATTTCAATAGTGGTAATGAGCTTTGTTTACTTTTGAATACGCGGGTCAAATCGATTTTTTGTTAATGCGGTTCTTGCGTAGGTATAAACAAGTTGTATTTTTTAATTATTAGGGATTCTTCAGCTTGGTACTAATGGCTGCAGCAGATGGTGACTACAAGTTTACCTACTTGGACATCGGAGCATACGGAAGCGAAGGAGATGCCGGCATATTTCAAAAATGTACCCACGGAAAAGCGGTGCTAAGTGGAACACTCGCTTTTCCGGAAGCTGTTGAACACCCTTATGTTTTTGTTGCAGATGATGCTTTTCCATTGCACGTGCGGATTATGAAACCATATGTACCATCGCGAAACAGGAGGCTGGAAGAAGAGCATCAGATATTTAATTATAGACTTAGCAGAGCGCGGCGATGCATCGAAAATGCACTTGGAATATTGTGCTCAAAGTTCTACTGCCTCTCCAGAAAAATGTTTTGCTCCCCGCAAAAAGCACAAAAAGTAGTAGTGGCGTGCTGCTATTTGCATAATTACTTGATAAGGACTCGTAGAGCTCAATATTGTCCTCGGAATTACGCCGATGACTACAGCGAATTCGGAGAAGTGGTAGGAGGCGAATTTCGCCACCACATCCCTGCAAACTCCCTTTTTTCATCGGAAGTGCGCAGCGTTCAAGCTGGAAGGCTTTCACAATCTGCATCTCAAGTTCGAGAAAATCTTTTTGCGTTTTTTAATTCTGAAAAGGGATCGATAGCCTGGCAGTGCAGAGTAGTGATGGCAACAAAAATTTAATAATCGGTTAATTGATTAATCGAAAGCACTCAATTAATAATTGCAACTAATCGTAAGAAATGAGCCGATTAATCGGTCATTTCGATTAAAATCGAAAATTTATAAAAACCATTTATAAGTTATAAAAACTGACTTACACCCCGTGTCAAAATTATAGCGCACGACAAGATTTTTTTGGGTTATTTAATTTTAGTTATTTTTTAAATATAGCTTATTCTTTGGCAAAAAAAAACTTAGAAATATAGATATATCAAACTGTGTCCAAATTTAACAACAAAAATCAAACAAAAAAAATACAGTTTTTTAATAAGATTTCTTAGAAAGATTTCCAGTATGGTTTTGTAGGCCATTAAATTTTTATATGAAAAATTCCAAGCCTTAAGTATCTGGCATTTACCGCTCATTTTTGGTATTTTTCTGTTTGGTAATGGTGTTGCTTATTTTCTTCCGTATAAAAAAGAATAAAATGCACAACACCGAATTCGGAAAATAAAATGAAAATATGTGCTTACCTGGGTTGTGGTTTTTAGTAGCTACTTAATTTAAGCTTGTGTTGCGGCTATTGGCAAAAATATTGTTTAAAAAATTTGCAGAATACGAGAGTGTAAAAAACATGTCAACTTATTTTGATTCATACATTATTGTGCGCGTAAATTAGTAAATTTTTAATGGTTTCTTTTCGATTATTTTAAAAAATTAATCGGTTAATCGCTCGATTAATCGAAAGGAAAATATCGGTACAATTAAATCATTAACCGAATGAAAATAACCGATTATAATCGGTAGTTCGATTAATCGTGCCTTCACTAGCGCAGAGCAGCTTGTTTAAATTAAGTAAGAATGGTATGGCTTATACCTAAGGCTAAGCGCTTAGAGGAGCGACGAGCAAATCGACGAGATGATCATCGAGCAAAGAGTAAATTTCAAACGTGTATGTACGCTTTGCTCTTCACTATGTGCGCTCCCATTGAAACATATACGTTAGTAATTGACACTTTGCTCGATGCTCTTTGCTTACCGCTCGACTATGCGCTTAGCCTAATAAACTCTATACATTCAGTATCGGTCATATCAATGGCACCCACATTTCAAAGTGATATTGTTTGCCACTCCTGTTTATTTATTTATTTTTAGGAATTTTCTTTTTCCTTTTTCCTAATTTTAGATCACAAGACCGAAAGAATTTCATCTTCACTGGATTGCAATATTCAACATTGTTTTTCGTTTTACATTCATATGTACATATAGTATGTATATTGAAAAAGTACATGTATTTGTTTGAATTATAAATTTAAAGCAAAATATTAAATCAAAATGAAAATAAGTTTAAGTTCATTAATGTTTTATTTTATTTAGATTTGTTATGTTTAATATACAACACACACAACAGGATGAAAAAATAAGAACAAAATAAAGTAACATAAATTAAATTCAATTAAATGAAATAAAGTAAAATAAAATAATTTTAATTAACGTAAAACTAAATTACATTAAACTTAATTAAGTGAACTAAATAAAATAAATAACACAATAACAGAAAACAAAACAATTTAAAACAAATCAAAATAACTCAAATTCAATTCAATTAGATGAAATAAAATAAAATAAAATAATTTAAACTAATTTCAAAAAATAAAAACAAAAATAAAATTATATATAATATAATTACCTAAATAAAATAAAATAAAACAAAAAGAAAAGCAAATAAAATAGAACAAAATAAAATTACATTTCACTGCAACTTGTTTGGTGCTTTTCAACCTCCTCGTAGGCCATTTGCGTAAATTTCGCCCCTAACATATTCGCCGTGCTTTGCGGCAACTGCTCCAGAAGTGACTCCAAGTGTTTTAAAAGGGGTTCAAATTTGGATTTCTGAGTTATCTCCGCTTTTCGCAACTCCACAATACTATCCATTTGCTCCACAATTTTCTCTGCCGAATATTGCAGAGCCGCATTAGAGGCATTGGAGCGCTTTGCCGATGTGCTAGGTGTCGACGTCTGGAAATATAACAGGAAAACGTTCATTAAATAGTTTATGTTAAGAAATGGTGAATCTTATACTAAATCGTACAAAATTATAGCCGGGGGGATCCAAACTTTCGTCGAAGCTGGTGCCTGCTCCTAAACCGTCCATGCTGGAAAATGTTCTATAATATTTAAACTAGCACACAGCTCGAACTCAGCTACTTCACTCGCAAAGTTTACATCATCCAAATCGCACGCACTTCCCGATTTTTTTGCCTTGTTGCATAGTACCGCTTGCTGTCTCTAAGGCTCTTCCACGCTGCTTTGCAAGATTGGCTTTCAAGAATTGAATTTTTGTAAAAATTACATAACATTGATTTATCGATTTTTTTAATAAAGTTTTTTTTATGTGTTTAAATAATGCTACGATCTTGGTTTTGAACTACGTGCACTTCATTAAATGTTCATGTTTTTTTTTCAAGGACTTATTTGTGTAAGTTAACAAGAAGATTAACTACTTCAATTATTATGTTCGCTCAAGTACCCGCATCGAGGTACTTAAGCGGGTTATTTTAAGTACCCAACCCGTCTAAGTACCTCAAAAAGCTGACGTTTTTCGTGAGGTTTTTAAGCGGGTTTTACTGTAGTAGATATTAGTTGTGTTTAATGTAACCGAAAAAGTGCAGAGCAGCTTAAGTTAGAGCAGAATAGAGCAGCTGTCAAAAAAAAACAACAATAGAGCAAGTTCGAGCAACTCAGATCATAAATCTCATGAAACACTTTTCAGGCAGAAATTCTCAAAACAGTTGATTGCTCGACAGTTCAATTCGTCAATTGTAAACTGCGTGTGTGTGTTTCCATGCTCTAAGTTAATCCATCAAAAAAGCTGGTGCAGAAAATCGTACTCTAAGGGCCGTTTTCTAATGTAAGCAGTAAAGTTGCCTTTACTAACAGGGCAGATAAATTGTTCCTCACTTTAAAGTGTTTTCGTTGTCGTATCTTACCTGTAAAAATAAATTTGTTATTCCGTAGAGTGAAACTTCAATACATTTCCGAGAGTGAAACTTCACAACATTCGTCATAAAATTTCAAAGGTTGGCAATGCAACATAAGCAAATATAGAGCAAGAGCAACTGCTAGCAAAAACCAAAACCTTGGTTGAAATATCTAATATATCTGACTCATGAACCAAAACCAAACCAAAATTTAAAGTTGGGTACAAATTTTAAAGGTTGCATCGGGTGAGCAACAGTTTATCGATTCGAGAAATTAATGCGCTGATGAGAAAACGAAAACTCGTATATCGAGACGATAAAGTGACCGGTAAACTAAAGGTTAGATGAGAAAACGGCCCTAAATTGCTCTAGTTCCACTTAGCGCAGGCTAATGAAACAAAAAGTAGAGTAAGTTAGAGCAAGTTAACCTGGCGTAACCTAGAGCAGCTCATTAAAAACAACTATTTGTACACATGCATATCTTTTGTTTGTCATAATACGTAGGTCCAGAAGGCGCATTAGCTGTCAAAACCCAACTCTCAAAGGTACACACCACCATTTTGTCTCAAATGATCAGAAAAATATTACTATCATCTAACACGCAATTGTTCAGTTCATCAGAAGTACACAACAACGCGTTACTGAGCTGTTGCGCCTTTTAAACGTGCCCAATGCCAGCAAAAGTCAAATGGCTAACATGGCGACCAAAACCCTTGAGTGAAACTACTTTTCTTTTTGTATCATGCTGTGAATAAAAAGTTTTCTCAGAAAACACTTTTCTCGCAAAATCGGCTCATTTGTCAAAATCGGCTCCCTTAAGCTTGATATACAGGTTAATGCGAGCGTGAGCGTGAACGTTCGCAAAGGCAAAGAATTCCATTTGTATTCTTATGGACGCTCACACACATCTGTCAAAACTTGCCGTTAACATGCGAATGCTTTGCGTACGCACACAGTTGAGTGTGAGCTCGAAAACGGGCATATTATGCATTTTAAATTAGGTTTTATTCTGAAAGCTATTTTAATTCTCTATCTTTTCATGGCTCAACTATAGCAAAAAGTTAAGCAGTAACGAAGATATTGGTCAAAATGGTCAAAATAAAAAGCTCACGCTCACGCTCGCATTGAGCTGTATATCAGTCTTTAGAAAGGCACTGTGTGTGCGCAAAGCTTTTGTAAAGCTCTGCCCAGATCTACAGCGGGCGACGGTAAAGCGGTCGACGGTAAGTGAACAGCTGAACAGTTCCCGGAGTGAAATCCGTCATTGTACACAATTGAGGCGCGCGACGCCTTCCGTCAGTTGCCATTATTATCATTAATTTTATTATCATTAAAACTAAATATTTTTTCGGTACGTGCGTGTATGTAGATTTTCTGGAAATAAAAATAGATGAAAACATTGGCAAGCTTGTGAAAATAATAAAAATTACAACAATCAACATTGTGCCGTCCCCGCTTGCCGGTAAAAATAAAAAAAAATTTAAATCAACCTAAAAACGTTCGCGGTAAAAGCTCTGCCGCCGCAATTACATCTAAGCCATGCCATATGCCTTTGGGAGTTTTCATTTGACAGCGGTTAACCGTCGTCCGCTGCAATTCTGGGCAGAGCTTAAGGGAGTGTCAAAACTCTAATGTCACTAGTGAGCAAACCTTTAATTATGGAATCATGGATAGCTTCTACCTTGTTGAATATGCCTTATACCATGTCCCCACCGGAGCTAACCACGTAGTAATGGCTAATGAGTTGGTTATCCCGATAACCCACTTGATTCAGCGTAGTTTCGCCATACAAAAATGACAGTACTTAACCATTTCACTGAGATGGTTAAAAGCTAACCAACTCGAAACCACGTCGAAAGTCTGATACAACCCTGTGTTTTCCCGCCATCTGTGGGTCATGAACGTTAAAATGTAAAAAATTCGTCCCCTACTAGTGTTTGGATTTCGCTAAGATCAGATTAAATTTACACCGGTTTTTGAAAAAATTTTAAATCTACTCCTCTACTCCGCTTGACTTCAAAACTATTCCGTTTTTTTCATTCATGTTATGCCTCTCTTGGGGCCGTTTTTTGAGTGTTCACCACCGGTTTCAGTAAAAAAATTGAAAGTTAGCCAAATTTCACTGTTAAAAAGTAACTCTTTCATAGCAATGCTCCAATAACGTAACTTCGTTAATTTTTGATGTATGGCTGTCGAAATTGGCGGATGCAGAACTATACTTAAGTTGTTAAAACATATGTAGAATTAAATTTATATAAAGTAGAAAAGGTTCAGATCCTATTGCTCTTTAAAAAATTAAGTGTTAGATACGTTCTACTTTAAAGAAAATGCTAAAAATTACCTAAATATGTAACATATTGTCCTACATGGCCTCGCGTTCTTATTTTTGCATGAATAGAAAATATTTAAGTTAAACAATTAATGTCAGAAACGAAAATAAACAAAATCAATCTAGTACGGAAAATTTGTTTTTGATCCGATTTTTCCAGTGATTTAGTCCTGAATGGAGTTTTGAAGACCCGAACACTGTTCTTTACATTTTTCTGTTTTAGGCTATATGTACACTTGTCGTCCAATCATAGTTGCGTTATCGTCTCGCCCTGAAATTTGGAGCCGAGCACATGCATTTCAACGAAGATCTGCACACTTGTCGTTATCGGCTAGTTATCGGCAAATCGTAGAAGATGCAGAAACGGATAAGTATGACAATGTCGTTTGCTAATCGTTGTGCACGCATTGTTTGTTTACA